TGCTCCCGGGACCTACACACACCCAGGCCCGTGCGCTCACCTGAGCCTGTACATGCACCCGGGCCCTACACACACCCAGACCCATGCATTCACCCGAGCCTGTACATGCACCCAGGCCCTACACACACCCAGACCCATGCACTCACCTGAGCCTGTACATGCACCCGGGCCCTATACACGCCCAGGCTGTACACTCACCCGGGTCCGTGCACACACCCGGGCCCTTATACACACCCAGGCTCACACCAGCAGACTCCAGGCCTGCATCCCTTGCTGGCTCCTCCTCCTCCTGCCAGCCCAGGAAGGGCATCCACATGGAGAATGCCCATTCCACGTGGCCCTGACCATCTCCCTACCCCGACTCCACAACCAGGAATCAAATCCAATCCCCTCCTCTGCCTGCCAGGCCTGCCCACCAGGTCCCTGCCCATGGGGCATCTCCAATTCAACCCCTGGGCCTTGGCACCTGCGGGTTCTCAGCCTAGGATGCGGCACAGGATGCTCAAGAGCCCCAGCCTTGCTGGTCCCTCCCACCAGCTTCCCGTCGCCTTGGTCTACTCATGCTGCCCCTCTAAGTAACTCTGTGTTTCATCAGGATGTGTCTCCGCAGGCGGGAAGGTGCTGGCTCTGCCCGTTCATGGAAAAGCCCAGACTGAGGTGCTTGGGAGCTGCTCCTGGCTGGCAACATGGGACCCAAGCCACACTGGCCACGAGGCCCAAGCTGGAGCTTCCCAGGGAGCCAAGTGGCTTGGAAGGTCAGGGAGAGAAGGTGCAGGGACTCACCAGTGACCAGGCCCCGCTGAGGCCCGAACCACCCTCTGCCCACAAGAGCCCTGTGTGCGCTTAGGGGGATCAGACGGGCACCCACCTGCAGGTGGACGTAGTCGTAGTCTTCCATCCATCCCCCCTCACTGTTCTCGTACTGCCCATCTGGCGAGTCCTGGGAGGTAAACTTGGGGGGTGAGGGCAGGGGGCGTGACTGGATGCTGCTGGCCTTGTCGGTGGGGTTGGGATGCAGGGGGCCACCCCCTTCAGGCCCTGGAGCAAGGGCCTTGGTCCGTCTGAAGAGCAGTGAGGCATTGCCGTGCAAGAAGGAGGCCAGCTGCTTGGCATCTTCGGGCACAGCCCGTGAGCAGGCCACCAGACGGTCCAGGTCTTCAGGGGCGGCCCCTGCCCGGCCTCTGTCCAGAGCCTGACCGAGCACCACTAGCGTCTGGTGCACATCCTCCATCTTCTGCAGTTGCCGACTGAGCTTGGCATGCAGGGTGCGGTCAGCAGTGTGGGCTGCGTTGCCCACAGCGCTGCGGGCAAATTCCAGCAGCTGATGCACAGCCCCCTGGACGGCAGCCACAGCGGCCCGCAGGTCCTGCCCTGCAGGCTCTTGAGGCTCGGGGTTGCTACGCCAGCCCCCAGCTCCACTGGCGCTGCCCACCAGGTCCAGGAGGTGAGCCACGGTGGCACTCACACCCTGCTGCAGCCGGGCCAGAGCCTCCACGGCCACCTCCAGCTCCAGGGGCTCCCGGCCCGGCACGGTTGCCTCCAGGGAGGATGCGGACTGGCTGCTGCGTGTGCTGCCTGTGCTGGATGCTGACAGGCGCTTGGCGTCAGCCGGGGCCTCCCGCTCAGCTGGGGGGGGCACCGAGTACACACCGTCATCGGCCACACTGCCATCGGCCCCCTCAGGGGGAAGCACCCGCTCACGGGGCACGTCGTAAAGGGTGCCGGGGCCAGGTCGCCGCAAGCCAGGGGGCACGTCGTAGAGGTCGGGGGCAGGGGGCGGGACATCATACACATCCTCAGTGGGCGGTGAGTCTGGAGGGGGCGCGGCAAGGACCAGCGGGTGGCGGGCTGGGTCAAAGGGCTTGACCTTGGTGAAGGCGGGGGGTACATCGTAGGTCTCCTCACGCAGCAGTGGGCCGTCGGGCACATCCTTGCTCACCGACGGAGGAACGTCATACACCTGGGGGCCAAGTGCTGGTCAAGGCTGGCCGTCTATCTACCCACCTGGAGCAGGCGTCGGCCACACACACACACACACCCAGCCCAGCCCAGGTGCACACATTCCCGGGGATTCTTAACCACGCTGGTAACGTTGTGAGCCAACCCTGGAGCTAGACGACTCAACCTCTCTGTGCCTGTCTGCTTGTCTGTGAGATGAGGGAACTCCCCTACAGGCTGTGGTCAGCACTACACATCTCATTTCACGTAACCACGAAACTGCAAACCCTGGGGGACAGGTTATCACTGCCACTGCTGCCGCTGCTACCACCACTGCCACCAGCACCACCAGGAACACCAGCAGCACCACCAGCAGCAGCATCACCACTAGAAACACCAGCAGCATCACCACCACCACCACCAGAAACACCAGCAGCAGCAGCACCACCACCACCACCAGAAAC